GTTGTGATTTGTTTCTCATTACAAATACATATTTTTTTCTAATTCTGTACTTGTAATTTTGTACTCTTTTTCTTAAAAAAGGTTGCCAAATTGTATGAGCTTTCTTAAAACCCAGTTTCTCCCATTCCTAAAATGAGTGTGCACTCTAGTCTTGGGGGTTTATTCTTTGCCAATAAAGCTGGGGTGGCTTTCCTTAAAGTTGTTCTCTGTTTGTGAGGAGTGGGTGGGAGGGCAAATTCTAGACAAGACAACAGTGAGTGGAACGACTCAGACAGGAAAGAATTTGCTCCAGATCTAAATGGAGCCTGGGAGAGCACTGGTACGAGAGTGGAGAAAATGATACCAGATGAGGCAGGGACCAGGTAGGCCATAAAAGAACTTATTCTACTTATTATATCCATGGAAGATGCAGAGCGACCAAGCTATAGCTAGAATTTAAAGATGGTGCTGACTACTAATGAGAATGGACAGTAAGGGGGACAAGAGTAAAATCAGAAAGATAAGTTATACCCACACAGCTGTCTGGTTAAGAAAAGGTGAGGGTGGCAACAGTAGAGATGGTGGGAAACGGTCAGATTGATGTGGACATCAAGGGTTTGCTGATGCATTAGACTGGATATGGTGGGAGTAAAGAAAAGAAGAAAAAACAAGGGTGATTTCCAGTTGGAGCAACTGGGTAGATGGGGTGTGATCTGCTGAAAGAAAGAAGACTGGCAGAAGGATAGTTTTAAACATGTTGAGGCTGATGACTGTGATTCTCCAAGGGACAGTGTCTGGTAGGTCTCTGGCTATCCAGTTTTCAGGAGAGGTTTGCACTGGGAATTTAACTTTAGGAGTCATAAGCACATTGTTGTAGATGGTTTTTAAAACTATGGAGATGAGAACAGAGCAGAGAGGGAAAAAGAGGAGAACCTAAGGGAACCAGGGAGAACTCCCAACCTTTAATGATCAAGTAGAGGTGCAGGGATGGGCAGAAGAAAGAAAGAGCAGCCAGAAGAGGGAAGTCAAGAAAGGACAAGGTGCCTAAAAGACAACGAGGCTGAAGGCCACTGAGATGACAAAAGGGATAAGAATGAAAAAGTGACCTTTGGGTTTGGCAACACAGTTCAGCAAGCACCTAGCTGGATAAAAGGAATTTTAGCTTACTGATAGGACAGGAAATCAGATTGCAGTGAGTTAATGAGGAATTGAACAGAAACATAACAGAACATAAACAAATCTGTAATCATTACAGAAATTAAATCCATAGTTAACAATCAACAATCTCTCCCTCAACAAACAGAAACTACTGGGTTTTTGCTTGCTGTATCAGACCTTCAAGACATAGATAACTCCTATCTTATATAAACTGTTTCAGAGCACTGAAGAGAAAAAGACTCTCAATTTATTCTATGAAGCTGTTAAAATCTCATCATGTTTAGTCATCCAAATCAGGCAAGGATGTTAAAAGAAGAAAAAATTATAGGCCAGACTCATTTCATTTCACAGATGTAGACATTCTAAAAAATTAGCAAACTAATCCAATAATGTACAAAAAGTAGTATATTATAACTAAGAATAGTTCATACTAGAAGGTGAAGATGGTTTATCATTAGAAAATGCATTACTATAAATGTTAACACATTAGAGGAGAAACAAATATAGTATTCTCTCAACAGATTCAGAACAAGCATTTGGTAAAATCCAAAATACACAAATTCATGATTTAAAGACAACTCCTACCAAGCTGGGAATAGAAAGAAACCTCCTTGCTCTGAAGAATGGTATCTATTTAGACCTGCAATAAATATAATCCTTAATGGTAGAAATTTAGAAGCTTTCTCTTTAAAATGAGGAACAAGATAAGAATATCCACTATAGTTGCTCCTATTTCATATAAATTGTAAGACAAGGAAAAGTAATAAAAGTTGTGAAAATACAAACAACATTATCTAGTGAAGTTATAATCGTATACAGAGAAAATCTAAAATGCTCTAAGATAAACAACTGTAATTAATGTTAGTAAGGCTGTTGACTGTATTGTCCACATTAAAACAACAACAACAACAACAACAAAAAAACAGTTGTATACCTGTATACCAGTCACAAAAAGGTTGAATATTGTGATAAAAAAATTTGACAGCAATCTAAACTGTAAACTACCTAAGACTAAGTATCTAGTGACCAAATATATACTTATATATTTCGTGAAAAAAATTATAAAATGTCACTGAGGTATGTTTAAAAAAAGAAAAATAAAAGAATTTTAGTTCACAGAAAGATTGAATATTATAAAATAATTGAATCACTCAAATAAGATTCTAAAATTAAAAAAGCCAAGAGTTTTGAAGAATCCCCTTAACTAGGAGCTTCTCCCTGCTGGTTTTTCCTTCCCCGGAAGGGCCTGGCTGAGGAACAGCACTCCTGGTTTTCTCCACACTCGTTCTCACTCTCTCTCTGAGGAGCACTTCTCTGGTGACTTAGAGGGCCAAACACAATCTGGACAGTCATTGCTTAGGCCTACCTGGGTCTCCTGCCTCTGTCGGAAAAGCTGTGGCTCTCCAGTTCATATTATGAAGGGAGGGTAAGTTTAATTTTGAGTGATGTCTTTGTAATCCCTTTTTATTACAGATCTAAAACCACATTTCCAAGCAGCTTTATCAGTAATAAAACTGACATTTTGATTGTATTAGCCTGTCTCTTATATCCTCTCTCTCAAATGGTTCCAAATGTTGGGGGTGGGGAAAGCATGCTATTTATTGAGTATCCTCAAATCTCAACCAGACTTACAGAAACTACATCTTATAATAATTAAGAATGTGGCACTAGCCCATGGATAAACAAATGAAACAATGGAGAAGACGTGGTCTGAAATATGAGGAATCTCGTATATAGAGAAGTGGCATTTCAACCAGAGGAGGAAAGACCGACCATTCAATAAATGATACAGGGACAATTTGTATCAGTACTAAGGTAGGCCTAAGCAATGATGGTTTCCCTCCAGAGTGCCTACCACAGAGCTTTACACAGAGATTGTGCTAAATAAATGTCTGCCAGCTCACTTTTGTTATAATTATTATCATTATTATTTTCCACTTAAGCTTGATTCCTTTCCTAGCTTCCTTAGGCATCTAATTCCATATTAATACCAAATTTTGAAAATAATTTTGATATTCTGAGTAGAATTATTTAAAGAACTGTGTGTTTGCTTAACAGGAGTTCTACCAAAAGCCAGATGTCTAGAACTTGTCATTTTGAGGATCATATGGAACAAAAATCAAAAATGTCAAAGTAAAGATCAACCACAGATGTCACTTTCTCATTATCTTCAAGGCCTAGCTTTATGGCACGGGAGAAAATGAAACCAATATTATATCCTCTACTCTGTCCCTCCTCAATATATTTACCACCTAATATCTCACTTCATCCTTACAACACACTGGTGAGATGAGCAGGGCAGGGACTACAGATGAGGAAACCAAGTTCAGAGAGGCAGCACTTCAAACCCACACAGCAGGTTATTTAGGAAAAAACCTGGGATCAGAAGCCATTACTCTTTACAGGAGACCATGCTGTTCCAGTAGTCTAACTCTACAGGCTGATTCCCGGTCTCATGGTTTTGTATGTTATTGTCCATCACCCAAGGATGGACCTTCAGGAATAAGTAGCTAGAGTCTACAGCTTTCCATTTATTTTAGTCACATAAATCAATCTAATGATTTCTTTGTATCAATCTTCACCTTTTCCTTTCTCTTTTTAAAAGGGTCAAGTCTTTTTTGACAAAGCAGGTTACTCATTATGTTACACCGTACTATTTATGGACCACCTGTAAAAACTGAAATTGAGCAACAAATAGACCATATACTACTTATGGTAACCTTATGGTAACTCTTTTTTTGGTACTGGAGATTTAACCCAGGGGTGCTTAACCACTGCACCACATCTCCAGGTCTTTTTATTTTTAATTTTGAGATAGGGTCTCACAAAGTTGCTTAGGGCTTCTCAAACCTGCTGAGGCTGGCTTTGAACTTGTGATCCTCTTGCCTTAGCCTCCCAGGTTATTGGGATTTTAGGCATTAGCTGGCCTCCACTTACGGTAACTTTGAAACAAATATTCATGTTGTGGGAGTTCAGTCTTTTGAGAAAAGTAATAGGTGAATGATTAATAATATTCATGAATATTATTAATGACATATCAATAATATTAAAGATAATAAATTATATAATAAGCTTTAGATTATGACTTCCATCCTATTTTCGTGTACCTATGTCAATTTCCATGAAACATTTGCAGAATTGAAAATTGGGATTTAATAGGTTAAGGAGTGGCTTGCCTTCATGGTACAATAGTCACTGGCACTAAACATAAGACAATTTTAGTATGTGCTCTGGTCTCAGACTAGGGGCTGACAACGTTTTTTTTTTTTGGGGGGGGGTGGGGACGCAGGGTACCAGGGATTGAACTCAGGGGCGTTTGACCACTGAGCCACATCTCCAGCCCTATTTAGTATTTTATTTAGAGAAAGGGTCTCACTGAGTTGCTGAGTCTGGCTTTGAACTCACGATCCTCTTGCCTCATCCTCCGGAATCCCTGGGATTACAGGCGTGTGGCACTCCTGACAACTTGACTTACTCCTCACCACTTTTCTCCCTTAAGTCTCATAGCCACTGACTCTGATGTTCACTTGACAGGCATGTTCTTAGCATGCTCTTCAGAAAAGTTCTAGGGGTCTGTGTCTCCTTTCCATGAACCACACTGGCTACCCTCCGGGCCTGCCTCAGCAATGCACTGTCCTCATACTATCCCTGGGGCCACCTCTCCCCCAGAGGGTTCCTTACCCTCCTTAGTCAGACTGGACCTTAGATCTTCCCAGGTAGAATGGCTGCCTTTCTTTTTCTTCAAATACCTAAGTGCAGAGGAAAACCCAGAGGGCAGGTGTGGAGCAACGTGGAAGTCAGGAAAGTTTTTCAGGTTCATTTTGAATTTTATAGTTTCCAATGTCAGAGATAAAGATACTCACCACCTGACCATTAATCCGTGCTCCATGAAGTTTTTCAGGTTAGGAAGTGTTTGTCTCAAGTCTGGGGTCCCTAGTCCATGTTGGTATCTTAGCTGCGAAGGTAGAAGAAGAATTAAAAGACATTTTGGCAGATTCTAAGGCAATGCTTCAGCAAGAAACACTCAAGTAACTTTTAGAATTCTGAAAGGGGAAATGTAAATGTATGATCCTGATATCAACCACACTGTTGTTTACTGTTCCCTTGTGCCTTAAACTTGGAGAAGACTAAGTGGCCAGCTAGGAAATCAGGATATTTAAGACTGCTGTATCTAGCCTTCTCTTCTACTTCCGACCTGGGTAGGATTTGCTAACACCAATTCCAGGAACTCATACCATGAAGCCAGTATTTCATCGTAGATACTGGCAGTTTTCCTTTTGAGTAACTCTTCCTTCTATATAAACAAGGGTAGGGATCATCTTGTATTCATCTCTAATTCAAGTGGCTGGCACACTGCTGGTGCATGCTCAATGTTCATTAAACAAACAATCATCAAATCACTTTGACAGGGGCTGTGCTTTATATTTCTCTTCAGTCTCCACCCCTCCTTTTTGTCCAGAACCAGAGCACAGAGCTGGAGGGCTAGTCTGAGGAAACCACTGGCTTGTGGGCTAGATTTGCCCTTTGTTGGACTTATTTCTAACAGAGACAGTTTCTAAAATTAAGTATTCTTTGTACTACTAAATGTTTCCATAGCCTCCTTTCACTCTCCAAATACTATCATTTGGTTCCTTAATTGACCATACAGATGTGCATATTCACACGTTCATCTGCATCTCAGGTACACAGAAAGTGGACAACACACCCTTTCAAAAATGTTTTAGTCAAATGACATATATGAAGACAGTTCATAAACTTTAGAAACTGTATACTGATAAGACAAATGTGAAGAGGAATTGGTCTTAAGGTTTTATTTCTTCAGTACTTTAAGTATGGCTAAGTAAATTTTTCTTCTCTTAAAAAATAAAACCATTGTAACAACAAATCCCACTATTATGTACAATTATAATGATCCAATAAAAAATAATAAAAATAAAACCATTACCAACAAGAGTAACTTTTTTGGGGGGCAGCGGAGGTACTGAACCCGGGGGTGCTTAACCGCTGAGCCTCATCCCCAACCCTTTTTATGTTTCATTTTGAGACAGGGTCTCACTCAACTGCTTAGGGCCTCACCATATTGCTGAGGCTGGCTTTGAATTCACAATCCTCCTGAATTGCTGGGATTATAGGCATGGGCCACCATGCCCAGAGTAATTTTTCTATTGCTTGCATCTAGTATTCAGTTAATTCTTCTCTGGGTATGTGTGACACTTAACAGGAAGAGTTCACTCTCACTGATACTAAGCTTTTTAAGGAAAACTCCAAAACATAATGGGGTCTCCAGAGTGGGCTGAATGAATACACACACACAAAGCAAGGGGGAAGAAACATACAATGTTAAAATTAAAAGGTAGCTTGAATATTATTGAAGCCAATATTTTCCATTTACAGAAGGGGAAACTAAAGCCCGGAAAGGGGAAGCAAATTCTCTAGGGCCACAGATAACAATTAGCTAGGGCTCCTGTTCAAAATCCATGCTATTCCACCACCACCCAAAAGTCTGAGAAGAAAATTGCTAATGGTACTTGAGAAGACAGAGGGAAAATATTCTTTTTCTTTTTCAAACCTAGGCTTGGTGACCTAAATCACCTCCTGAGATTTGCTGACCTTGAATTATAAGATCTATCCCATGTTAAATGACATCATTTCTTACATTAATATAAAGGCATTTTTTCATACATTGATAAAAGCAAAATGGCTGATATCCCAATATGACATTCCTGAATTCATTGTTTCAATAAAAAAGTGAAATTGTTTACACATGGCATGAAAATTTCACCTGTGATTCATACTGAAAAATATTAAATATAAAAAACCCCTATACCGAAATAACACCAAGCTATGTGTCTCTGAGCCAGTACACAGTCAATTGCCTGCCTTAGGCTCCACAATAGAAGGCGGGTGTTGAATTCTTTTCAGAGACCACAGTGAAACTGTCTTTCCAAGTCTGATTTCAACCAAAAAGGGAAAATGTAAGAACTTCAAATCTCCACCCAGGTCTTAACTCTTTAATTACTGTAGAGCACTATCTTTTATCATAGTCTATTAGGATTATATAGCTTAAAGAAACCTTGGAGATCATCTTTCCAAACTCTGTCCTTCTATAAAAGAAGAAACAAAGGCTTAAGGCACATGTCCCGACCAAAATCACAGAACTGATGAGGGCCAAAGCCAAGGCTACAACTTCTTAATTACAGCTCCAAATTCTTTCTACCATTTCATCTTTTTAGTTTCCCACATAGAGAACTAAAAGAAATGAACACCTAATATAAATTTAATTTTTATTAATAAAGTACATGGACTGTTCAAGAAGTCTAAATATATGGTTTGTGTTTTCCTTTCATCTTTCTAGATAATATGTTCATGTTAATATTTTTATTCCATCCACTTTAGGTTTCATCTACTGTTTCTACCATAAAAGATGAGAATTTAAGCTTTCTTACACCACTCTTCTCTCACACATTTTATCCTTTCTTCCATTCATTATCTGCTGATTTTTTATTTATGAGAATTTGATACTCTACCCTCCCACAATACTTCCCTTCCTCATCCTCTCAATATATTCCATAAAAACTCATCTTTCATTAAATCCGTATTTAGTGTTCACTTCATCATACTTACTTACACAAACACTGCTTATGACTGAGCCATGTAATGTACTATTCCTTTCTTGTACTTTTTTATTTGTTTTTCTGGTAGTGATAACTGCCATTTTTTTCTCCACTTGTTGGATTTTTCTGCGTACCTATTGCTACATATTTCCCAAACACCCACAAAGCCTTAAAACTCTTCATTTGATTGAATATACCATATAATCTCTCAAGTCTACCTCTCCCCTTAGAAATTTATTTCCTGAAACCTGTATGGATCACTTCACTTCTTAGAGGTTCATTTTATTTGTAAAATATGGATGGTTACTTGTCTTGCACATCTTAAATAAGATAAATAGTGTCCCAAGCAATATCTGGTACATGTAAGTGCTTGCTATACAATATTTACTATTATTATTAATACACATATACTCACTTTCATCATAGCATCTACCACTAGGCTAGGCTGGCTTAAAACTGATACTCAATAATAACTTATTATTTAACTAATTAGAATGGGAATCAGAAAAAGATGAAAAAATGAGTTACTCTGAATCAAAGAGAAAGACCTTGAGCATACTGCTCACTACTTTTAAATGTTAAGTTTTACTAAGCCTCTGACTGGAGAGTCGGCAGTAAATACACACACGTCAATGTCTTCAAAATAATTACCTAGTGAATGGAAAGACTGACACATGCTGCGTGTGGTCAGAAGACCTGGGTGACAGACCCGGCTTTACTGTAAGGACATGTGCAAATTCCTTCCTTGCTTGGGTTAGTCAAATAATTTTCCAACTTTTTTTTTTAATTTTCCAACTTTTAAAATTAAGTAATCTTTAACAAGTTACCCTGGTAAGGTATTATCAAAAATAGAAAGGAAAAGAAGGACCCAAGCCAAGGAGAAAAGGACAAGGTTAGGGAAAAAGAGAAAAGGGAGAAAGAACTATATTTATTACATTCCTACATGTGCTATTCCTTCATTCAATAAATATCGACTGATGTCCACTAGGCTAGGCTGTGTAATCTGCTCTTTGTATTTGGAACCACAGGCCTGGACTGAGCCGGTTCTCACCATATAATACCTTGAGCTTGTTGCATAACCAGTTGGCGCCTTCTCTAAAAAACAGGGCCAACAATATTTGTTTCATAAAATTGTCGTAGAGCTTAATTAGACTTTTACAGAGAATGGAAGCTCCTGAAGACTGACTTTTAGAGGATACTGGTTAAAACTTTTGGGCCTAGAGTGCTAAGCTGAAACAGAACTAATGCCAGGGCTTTAAACGGGAGAGTTTTAAAAGAGGAAAACAACTCCAGAGGCAGCTGTGAAGGACAGGTTAAAAGATGTTCTCTTTCCTCTAAGGGATCTTAACTCGGCTTCCATCAAAACCTGCCCTTAGCAACTACGATCAGTATCACACTTCTCTAAGCATGGGTCCTTCTGCTCTCTCTTCTGATGGGAAGGCAGATGCCAAGAAACCGAGGCAAATAAAACATTGCTTTGGGTCTAACTGCCTCAAATTAGCCTCTGAAATAAACACCTTTTGTAACAACTTCCTACTGCACTACCACCCGGAGTCGGAGTAGTTTTTAAGTGGAATTTTGGTTTCAATTAGCTTAGACTTCAGCTTTACTCTGATTGGCTTAGGACTGCATGGAAGCAATTAAACTTTTGTTCAATTCAATGGCTGGTAGGCAACTAAGGCGAAACCTACATACAGATAATAAATTAGATGGGAAGTGGGGAGAAGCAATGTTCAGTAATTTCACAGGGAAGGTTAACAAATGGTATTGTCTACTTACTAGTAAAAGAAAATCCCCACATTTACTAAAACAGCCAGGAGGATCTAGCTTTATAGTTACTGGAACAAGCAGAAAGAAAGAAAACTAAGAGCACATTTAGACCACAACATACAACTATAACCATGTCAATTCCATTAACTACCTTTTCTGTTTTCCTTTCCCACACTCTTTTCTGTATAAAAATAGAGTATTTTTCCCAGGCCACATGCTGGTCTCATCCCTAATCACTATAGATTTACTGTGAGTTGCACCAAATAAGGTAGATCAACTGTGATGTTAGAGCTATCATGATTCGGAATTAATTAGTTCACGCAGCATGATAAATGTGGCTACCTTGACTAGGAAAAAGCATTGCAGCTCTGGAGATCATATTTAAACATAAAGCGTGACTGTACTTCTGAGAAATAAATGCTGTGTTCTTGTACTCAGCATACTCCTATTGAGCTGAGAAGTCTAATTTAATATCAAAGTGCTCAATTTTATTTTTATTTTTCAAAACACAAATTTTCCAGGCCAGGAAAGACTCTGGGGGTTCAGGAATCATTTTGTCATTTAAGTTTTG